AAGCTTTACCCTTTGTTTCCGCTGAGAGACGTGCCGCATGACTCATTGCCCCGCGCGTACAAGTTATCTTAGGTCGGCGTTCACGGTTTGACTTCTGAGATTCAAATTGAGTTCTAGGTAAATTTTTTTCGAACTGGTTGGTTCGACTTTTAAGAAATTTGAGTTCCAATGAGTTCGAGAACTAAGGTACCACTGTATATCTATTATTCCTCAATGGAGCATTGTGGGTGGTAAAATTATGCTTAAATATCATCATCAGATAGATGAGAACTTGGTGGTGAAAATCTGAAAGTTTCACTGGTAATTTATTAATATCATAATCAAATCTTAAAAGTCTATGCCACCTACCTTACTGAACAGAGCACTGGAAATGCAAAACCAAACGGAGTTAACTTATATTGAATGGCTTTAACCATTTTAACTTAAATACTCCATTCATTACATTAAAATCTAAAACATTTTCCCTCCCTCTTCATAACTTTTAATTGCATCACCTCTTCTGATATACTGGCATTTATTTTTCCAATTAACACTAAACTATTGATTGTTAATAGTATTACATCCTCTGTTTTCTCTGTACAATAGGTACTCCAGTCCAGCCAATCCAGTCCAAATCTTCCAGCCTACCATTTCCCAGAAGTCTTTGCCAGTCCTCCATCTTGTTGCAGCGGCCTATAAAGCCACTTTTGCTCACTTGCACCATTTTTGAATCCTTTGTATTACTGATAGACTTTGTAACATTTGACGTGTATTTCCTCTTTAGACTACGATTTCAAATCAAGTCAAAGTCTTTATTGTCAATTCTGACACAGGTACAGGACTGCATTTATTAATGTTTTCTTGGATTTTTTCCCACTATTTCCTTATTTTTACTCAAAGTGATTAAATTTTTTTTAAACCATTATATGGATTCTACAAATACAGTAATGGAAAAAACTCATGTTTATCTAAATTAAATTTTAAACCTGATGCATTAGAGAATTCTTTAATGGTTTCAATGTAAGGCTACATGAATTTGCTGTAGTCAGAAAAGTGTTGTGTCTTCTGCAAATTGACATGAGTATGTTTCCCTTTAATATTCAATCCTTCAATGTTGTTATTTTTAATTGTTATTGACAATAATCCTGCAACTAAAAAAGTGAAGGAGAGCTATTACATCCTTGACGTATTCCCCGTTTTACACAAAACATATTCCGTTTTCTAGAGCTACATAGCTATTGGTGTCATAACATTTTAATTAAACTGATGAATTTCTCACCAAATCCAAAATGATGTAATGTTTCCAAAATAAATCGGTGCTCCACTAAATCAAAGGCTTTGTAAAAATCTAAAAAAAGAAATATACCCAGAATTCACAAATATGTCCATAATAAATTAGCTCAGCATACTAGGCTTGCCACGATAGACGGTGTTGACGGTGTTAAAGGTTTTAAGATGCAACAATGGTGACATCACTTTCCCACCATGATACCGTCCCCACATTTATTTATTTTTTTTAAAGACTGCTGACTTGTCATTTTTGTAGCCTAATGTCATTTTGGAAGTTTTTCTTTTATATTCGTTTCTTGTTCATTCGTTTAATCTTATTTAAACTTTATTTATTTATCTTTCTATTTTATTTTCTTATTCGATCGTTTTAAAAACGTTCTAACATAGGCTACGTAATAAACGTTCTATGGTTGTTATTTGTTTGGTTCCAACTTCCACAGTTTTTTCAGCCTGTAGCATTGTTGTGTTTTTTTTTGTGTTATGTTAATAAAAGTTCTGTTTAATATCAGTGATTTTTTTTTTTGTAGTTTCGTTGTCGTCCATTCAAACAATTGACGCCGAATTGCCAATTCCCGCAAAATTAAAAGTGAAAGTATAATACGCACGCATTTATAAGCTATTTAAAAGCAGGAAAAAAAGAGGAAACCCCCACCCCCACGGTGATACCGGTATTACCGGTGTTGTCACATGTCCATTAACCGGTGGGGAAATTTCCTCATCGTCACAACCCTACAGCATACTGTAAGTAATACTGAATCACTAGCCACCGAGAGTCAGAAACAGACGTACACGGAGAGCAGGGTTGCCAACTGTCATGCATCTGGCGTGAATGATGCTTTTGCTTATGGCAAATCTATATTATTCCATTATATAAACCTAAAATTGGATACATCAGAAGCATTGGGTTAGTTGGTAAACCCAACAGGCTATTTACGATGTAATAAAACATATATGTAAATGCACGTGCTCAGACTTGTCTGCAATTGAAAATCTCACTCCAGCCATCTGACCAACAGTGCAAATGCGTATGTATTTTACGTGCATTTGCGCTGCTATGACAAGTAATCAATGTGCATTTTATGTTCTAGTCACAGTGTAGCTCAGTGGGCTAAGCCTCTGTGCCTGTAACCAGAAGGTTGTCAATTCAAGCCCAATCTCAGCATATCAGGTCCTTTAGCAATTAAATTTACAGGGGGGAAAAAATCAGTAATCAGGAAGAGACAGTAGAGAAATATTCATGGAAGAAATGTCTTTAGTTCAGATTTGAAGGAAGCAAAGGAAGAGCAGTCACAGAGAGATTGTGGAAGAGAGTTCCATAGTTTGGGGGCCATGGCGCTGAAGGACCTGCCACCCATGGTGGAAAGTCTTGTGCATAGAACAGTGAGATGATTATTAGAAGATCTAAGAGAGAGTGAGAAGGACAGTAGGGAGCCAATAGTTCGCTGAGGTAGCGAGGTTATGCAGAGCATTAAAAGTGAGAAGCATATTTTGAATTTGATCTCAAACTGAACAAGTAAGCAGTATAGCTGAGAGAGAATGGTTGTGATGTGAGCGAAGCATTTAATATGAGTGAGAACTTAAGCTGTTGAGTTCTGACCATACTGAAGCTTTTGTATAGATTTTGCAGGGAGGCCAACGAAAAGGGAGTTGCAGTAGTCAATACAGGATATAATGACCACAGTTAGGGCATAGGTATTGGACAGACATGGGCTAGACGAGCAATGTTTGGAGGTGAAAGAATGAAATTTTGGAGAGTGATATTAGGTGAAGATCAAAGCTGGGTGAAGAGTCAAATAATACCCCAAGCTTTTCTGTTAACAGTGGCAGGGTTTACAGGGACACCATCAATACTAACAGAGAATCTGGAGGATTTGGATGCTAACGATTCGGGCTGACCAGTAAGACTTCAGTTTTGTCTATGTTAAGTTTGAGAATGTTATCCAGCATCCAAAGCTTTAAATCTGGGATGCAATCAGTTAAAAAAAGATTAAAAAAAAATTTTTTTTGCTACTTGCACAAATACAGATACATTGGAATGCTTTTCTTTGCTGACCCCATCTTGCTCTCCATAGCTTGGGGGGGGGGGAATCACAGTGCAGGGTCAGCTAATGTGCAGTGCCCCTGGAGCTGGGGGTTAAGGGCCTTGCATAAGGGCCCACAGACATGTGACTGTTCTGCCAAGACCAAGGCTCAAACTGGCAATCTGATCAGACATAGAGACTTAGCCCGCTGAGCCACTCACCTTCCTTCATTCATCACTATTTTTCCATTTGTTTTTTTTCTGAGAACAAAGCATCACAGTGGAATACTCTCGGATAGACATATACATGCATGTCATCAATATATGGTAACGCTTTACATTGAGTGCACCTTCATAATGCATTCATAGAACATTCATAAGCAGCATGTAAGTATACTTTAACATCCTAACATACCTTTACAGCTTTAATATACACTCACCTAAAGGATTATTAGGAACACCATACTAATACGGTGTTTGACCCCCTTTCGCCTTCAGAGCTGCCTTAATTCTACGTGGCATTGATTCAACAAGGTGCTGAAAGCATTCTTTAGAAATGTTGGCCCATATTGAT